CCCCCCTTCCCCCCCCCCCCCGCCTTTTCTGCAGTTAATTCCCCATTTCCTTTCCAAAATTCCTCCGGAACTTCTGGTTTGTGTTTTTCCTCAACATGTTCTTATCTGCCACCCATTTCCCCACACCAGCTCTGACAGCACAGGCTTTTCAGGGTCTCTTTTGGAGACTGCCGCTGTACCCAGGCCAGGCCTGTGGTTCTGGTGAGGCCATTCGGAAAGGCAGGTCCCACCAGCTTCATGATGGGAAAACCTGCCTGCATTGTATCTCTCCTTGAGTCCTCACCTTCAGGTTCCTAAATCAGTGGTTTTTTTCTTTTTTCAGCCCCAGCTCTGGGGACCCAGGGCCATCCAGGGAGTGTTTCTTGTGGGGCTGTGAAAGGTGGCAAAGTTTCTCTCTCCTTTCTGCCTGCTGTTCCAAGAGAAAAGGGTGGGTATGCTGTTAGTCGGGAAACCCTGGTTTGAGAAACCCTGGTGGTGGGTTTGCTCCCCTCTCCCCCCATTATTTTTGGTTGACTAAGCTATAAGCAACCCTCAGATCTGGAGCAAAACTAGGGTCATGGTGGTGGGGATGGAGAGGTTTCATATCCCTTCACTTTTATTCTTTCCCAGGCTTCTCAGCAGTGCTGGGTACCCTTCAGGAGTGTCCTCAAGGGAAACAAAAAGTATGATACAACATGGCTTTTCCTGAGTATCATGTCTGTCCAAAGGCCAGGAACCAGACAAATTCCACGGGATGGGAAGGGTGGAGCAGACCTGATGTGGGCAAAAGCCACCCTGGGGCTGGTGTTACCTGTGCTCATGCTATGCCCACGGGAACAAAAGTGTCTCCCTGTGAGCTGCAAAGTCTGCTGCTGAGTTACTGCTTCCCTGGGTGGCTCAGCCACTGCATGCAATGGGGACACAGACTGATGGAAAGGCAAAGGGCCCCTTGGCCAACTGTCTGGGGCTCCTGTGGCCACACAGCCTGGGGCTGAACAGCACCAGGCCAGGATGAGGGCTGCCATCCAAACCAGCAGGGCCTGGAGAAGTCCGTCATAAGAAAGGGAGGTAAGAAAAGACAGCCCAAAAATGACTCTGGGGTCATCATCATCATCCCAGGAAGATGTTACTGCTCAGAGAAGGGCATCAACATGCAGCGTGTGGTGCAGGAATTACCCACTCTTCATGGCTGTGGTGGATGAGAAAAGACAACAGAAAGGAATTTGGGTTAAATAATGGAATAAGGAGAGACAATGTGACACTCGGGAATGGTTGATCTGGAGAGGGAGGGAAGACAAAACCCTGGATATGTTGGAGGGAGGGAGGGACGAGAGGGGCTGGGCTAGTCTCTTTTCAGAGCAGAGTGGTTGGAGAAGGGTGATGGGTAGGACTGGGCTGTCCTTCTGCTTTGTGAGGTTCTGGCTCCATCTACAGGGATGTGTCTCCAAGTGATGGAGGCCTTGGATTGCTGCATACCCAAAGCCGGCTGGGCAGGAGGTGATGCCTCCTCTCCTCTGACTGATGCAGTCAGCTTCTCCTGTGGCTCCTGTCCTGAGCACACCTCTGAATCGTGCTCCTGCTGCTCTGCAATGGACATCTGGGTTTTCTCATGTGAAATAAGGAGATGTCCTGAGATGGAGAGATGCTCAGAGGCAGATGGGTTTGTACATCCCTGAGACAAAAGGGCTGGGAGCCAGCCTGGTGGCTGCAGGATGTGAATGCAGTCAGGGAGGGCATTTCGAGCTGGGTGCAGAGCACTCACTCCCAGCACTGCTGGTCCCAGATTTGTGTGCTTTGCACAGCCTCTGCCAGAGCCTGCTTGTCTTTCACATGAGTGCGGCTCAAAGATGTCTCTGTGCAGGGCTTCAGTGCCAGCAACTCTGACCACCCTTACAAGGCTGCAGTACCATGCAGCCTTGGCTCCCATAGGGCCTTGTAGCAAATCCAAGCAAATCAGACAGGCAGCCTAATTCAAAAGCTTAGATGAGTCAAGCAGCACTACTAGACAGGTCTCTTCTCCCTGGTTAGTTGATGCTCACCATGTCCAATGGCATGCCCAGAGAAGGGCAATGAAGCTGGTGAAAGGTCTGGAGCATAAGTCCTACGAGAGCAGCTGAGGAGTCTGGGGGTCTTTAGCCTGGAGGAAAGGAGGCTCAGGGAGGACCTTATCACTCTCTACAACCACCTGGAAGGAGAATATTGCCAGGTGGGGAGCAGCCTCCTCCCCAGTTACAAGTGATAGGACAAGAGGAAATGGCCTCTAGTTGCCCCAGAGGAAGTTTAGATTGCATATTGTGGAAAATTTCCTCACCAAAAGGGTGGTCAGGCATTGGAACAGGCAGCCCAGGGCAGTGGTTGAGTCACCATCCAGTGAGATATTTAAAAGGCGTGTAGATATGGCACTCTGGGGCATGGTTACGTGGTGGACTTGGCATTTCTGGGTTAACGATTTGGCTCAATGATCCAAGGATTTTAGGATCTTAGGATCATTTGTGATCCAACCTAAATGATTCTATGATTTTACGTCATTGTCCTTCCTTGGATGCCCTTTGTCCCAGCAGTTTTAGGCAGACATGAAGTAGTGACAAAGAAGAGTCCAGGCGGTCCCCACATGTTACAGCCAGGCTAAAGAAACCAAAGTGAGTCATGAAAGGACATGGAGCAATTTGTTCACAACGTCTGTGCCCCAGAACAGGGCAAGCCTTTTTTTCTAACGTGTTCAGTGGTTCTTCATTTATCACCTCACTCATGCTCTGCCTCGTGTTTGCTTCTAACTACCTCACTGATGTCTTTTAGCTGCCTGTACCCACATGTTCTTGGAACTGTCCTCGGCCTCCTCATGTCTTGATGGTCACAGAGTGAGTCACACCCTCTTGCTTCTTGGCTGCCACCCCAAATTTGCCCTGTTCCATTGCTTTAACCCCCCCATCCTTACATAGAGCTCTGGCAAAAACATGCATGAAGTTTGTCTCCAGTCAAAACCAATCCTCCCTCACACATCACATCACCTGGGCTTGGGGCATCAACATGTCTTAATGACAGCTGGTCCCAGCAGAAGTTGAAGGCAGGGAAGAGAGCATTTAGTCACAAAATGGGGGTTATCCTTTTGGATATCTATATCCTTTTGGATTCTAGGCTCCCTCCTCTCCATGTCTGGGCCTGTCAGAGTGAAAGCACAGAGGAATGTGCCTCTGTCCTGATGATAGTGTGACAGCTGTGTGGCTGTAGCATGGGGCATCTTTCTAGTGATGGTGACAAGGGGTCCTGCTGTGAGTTTTCCTGCCTGTGTCAGAGCAACAAACACGTGCAGTTTGTGATGGTGCTGGACAGCTGGGGGAGTGCAGGTGTGAAACACACACAAGTGTGCTCACATGCATGTGTGAAACATGTGCAACAGGAAAGAGAGACCCTTCTCTTTTCCCTCATCCCTCCTAATCCCAAGATCCAGTGCTATCTCCTATGTACCTCTCCTCTCTCTCCTCCTCCTCCT